GAGAGAAAAAATGTTACATCCATGAAACTGTCAAGCACAAGGCCAAGGCCAGGGCCAAGTAATGCCAGATATTAGCTGGTAAAGAAAAACAATGAGCTCTTTTTAGATTCAGCCAGCTTACTACTTGCATAGACAACAACAACAAAAAGAGTAGTGAAAGGTGCCAGGTCCCCATGGCCCTTGTGTGGGGTAACAGTAAAGGACGGAAGAGCACTGATGGAATACCCTGTTGCTAAGAAGCCAGTGTAGCTAAGCAATTCTCTAGCCTGCAGCTGTGCCCTAAATTGGGCAAGACAGTCTCAGATCTCAAAGGAACCAGAGGCAGATGGGAAAATGCCTCAAGACATGCTTCTGCAAGACAGGGAGTCTTGCTCAAGAAAAAAGGTAGATGAGAAAACATGATGGGTCGTTGCAAGACTGCCTGTTGTGGGATGAACACAGGGTGTTGCTCCGAGACAGGCTAGTCAGAGATCAAGCTCTGTCTGGGTGACACAGCAGGGTATGTGCAAGGTCACCAGGACACCTGGATGGACACACTGCCCTACAGACACAAGAACATAAAGCTGTTTTTAAAAGGAAATATTCAGAGAATAAAATATAAAAAGACTGGATATTAAAAATAATCGGAAAGCAGTCAAAATATGATAGAACAAAACACTTTTTAAATCACTTGAAGAACTGGAAGAGAATATTGAAAATACATACAAGAAAGTAGAAGAAAAAGATGGAGAAAATAGGGATAATAAGAAATAAGGAACATTTGAGATCTTGCTTCTGGAAAATTGCCAGTGTGGCTCAAATAAACTCATAAAAAAAATTAAAAATATCAGTACTGGATATCAATATCTTAATAAAAAGAGTTCCAGAAACATATTAGAAAAAAGTAGAGGGAAGGGAACTTATCCAAGAAGTAGTATTTAAAAACTTCCCAGAACTGAATGACAAATTTCCCCCTTGAAAGAGTCCACCAGTGGTCAATTCAATGAAGGAAAAAAGTTCCATCCAATAGTTTGAGTTGAGAAATAGGATGGAGCCTGGCCAGTGTGGGTCAGTAGCTTGAGTGTCAACCCACGCACCAAGAGGTCGCCGGTTCAATTCCTGGTCAGGGCACATGCCCAGTTGTGGACCAGACCCCAGTGGGGGACATGTAGGAGGCAACCAACCGATGTTCTCTCTCATCAATGTTTCCATCTCTCTCTCTCTCCCTCTTCTTTCCTTTCTCTCTAAAATCAATAAAAAAAAAATTATCAAAAAGAAATAAGATGGAACATGGAGAAAAGGTGAATCTGAGCATTTCCAGTGTAGGCTCCCCCAGCACTTGCCTGGCAGGGTTTTCACAGGACCAGGGTATGAAACAGAAAAAAGGGGGACTAGAAGTAGTATCTTTAAAAAAATAAAATAAATCCTCTGACACATCATCAATAAATTTCAGAATACGGGGAATAGTGATAAGCTTCTAACAGATTTCAAAGAGAAACAAACAGGACACATATGAGTAAATAGAATCAAAATGACAAATAACTTCTCGACAGCTGAAGTGAAAGTTGGAAGGCACTGGTGCGATGCTGTGAAATTCAGGACAACGCTTTCCAGCCTAGATGTCAACACTCCCAATGTTTCAATTCAGTGTGTGGATAGAACTGAGCTATGCTGACTCACACCAACGAATCAAAACAATTTATAGTTCATTCATTCAGGAAGTTATTGGAAGAGGTATGCCACCAAAATGAGGGAGTAAACTAAAAGAAGACAGAGGATTAAGGAAATGGAACATTCAACATGAGAAAGGTAAAGAACCAACCCAGATTAGCAAAGAAGAGAGAGTTCCAGGAAGAATGTCTTTAAAGAAAGAGAGAGAGATAGATTATATAGTGTTTTTCATCCTACAGAGAAGAGATTTATATTTCTGGAAGACAGGGTGTAAGTTAATGTCTACTACAGAGAAAATTGAGCAAATGAAATAATAAGGTATTTATATTATTAATTCCAAAAAATTTAAAACAAAAATTGAACCAAAAAAGGAATTACAGATACCACACAGCCCAGTTGTGAATAGTATTTACAGAGTCAAAACAGTATAAATATTAAGTGCCAATTTAACCAAAAGTGCACTGGAACTATAACTGGAATGACAAGGGAAGAAGTTATGTTCCAGGGAAAAAGGTAGAAGAAATAGAGTTTTAACTCATATTCCAAAATAGATCAATAAAATCTAAAACTAAAATATTAAGAAAACAGATACTAATGTTAACTTAAAAATACAAACATAATTGAAAAAAAAGGCTAAAAGATTTGAAAGAGGTTACTTCTCAGCAGCAAATGCTGGTATAAAAAGAATAGGTAGCCCGGCCTGTGTGGCTCAGTGGGTTGAGCATCATCCCATGGACTGAGCTAGATTCCTGGTCAGGGCACATGCCTGGCTGGGTTATGGGCTTGATCCCCAGTAGGGGGCATGCAGGAGGCAGCCGATCGATGTTTCTTTTTCACACTGATGATGTTTCTCTTTCTCCCTTCCTTTCTTTCTAAACAGAAATCAATAAAAACATATTAAAAAAACACACACACACACACAAAAAAAAAACAGGTAAAAAGAGTACTTATAAACCTTGGAAAAATCTTTTTTGACTGAAGATTATTTACATATTATTTTGAAATAAATAAAATAATAAAGATATCCTAAGTTTATGGGCCAAAGTGAATAATTCTAGACAGTATACTTACCAAGTGATCCAGACAATAGACTATAATAGGTAAAAAACAAAACAAAACTGGATTATTGTTATAGCCAGTCACATTATGGGACAAAGAGATTAAATGGACTGCTTCATTGTGAATGGGGGCAAGAAAGAAAGAGGTAAGAAGTACTTGAACTTACAACAGTTCCCTAAATTACCCAAATTTTTATGGTATCATGTACTAGAATCAAAAAATATTACAGCAGAAAAAAAATCTTATATATTGGTTAACAATGTACTTCCTTCATTTTATAATTACTTATCCAAGGGTACACAGCTGATTTGAAAATCAGAACCTTCTGCTCTTAACTCACTCTTTTCATTTAACTCTCACTCTTTTCACTGCATCATATATATATATTTTTTAATTTATTCATTTTTAGAGAAAGAGGAAGGGAGAGGGTGAGAAACATCAAAGTGCAAGAGAAACATCAACTGGCTGCCTCCTGCATGTGTCCTGACCAGGGATCAAACCTGCAACCATTTGGTGTACAGGAGGATGCTTCAGCCAACTGAACCACCTGGCCAGGGCTGCATCACAATGTTGTTGTTTTTTTAATCGTCATCCAAGGGTATTTTTCTATTTTTCTTCAGATAGAGTAGGAGGGAGAGAGAAATATCGACGTGAGAAGACACATAAAATGGCTGTCTCCCACACGACCCGACCAGGGCCAAGAACAAATGCAACCCAGGTACGTACCCTTGACCGGAATCGACCTCTGACTCTTTGGTCCACGGGCTGATGCTCTAACCACTGAGAAACCCCGGCTAAAGCACATTACAATGCTTTTAAAATAATAATTAAATATAAAGGAAATGTATGCGTTCCTACTGATACAATCATTAGCAATATTTTGTTTTAAAAAGGGAGTCTACTTGAAGAAAATGTTAAAAATATCTAGCAGTTTTGGGTTAAAGCACTGGTCTTTTCCTTTCTAAGAATTAAACATATAATAAAGGAAAAGTAGCTATACCTGAACTCTCTTTTCTTACTTTTTAGGATTGGACAAAAGTGAGAATTTAAAAAAATTTTAGGTTGCCATTTATATTTGCCCCAAATTATGGGTTCACTCCTGCTTTATCTACCTTAAAAATGGCGTTAAGAAAATATATCCAGGGCAGGGCAAAAGTAGGTTTACAGTTATGAGTACCCAAGTTATTTTTCTTGTATTACTTGTTAATTATTGTATTATTTTACATATAAACAACTAACTGTAAACCTACTTTTGCCCCATGCTGTATTTTACTGTGATTTGTATTACTCTTCAAATGACTCTGAACACCTCAGACACCTAATCTAACAATTTGGTGAAAGTAGGTTTTGGCAACAAGATTATATATATATATATAAATTTTCACCTGAAGATACTTTTCTATTTATCTCCAGACAGAGTGGGAGGGAGGGAGAGAGAGAGAGACAACTACGTGAGAGGGACTGATGGCCCCCACACAATACCGACCAAGACCAGGGACAAACTGCAACCAAGGTACGTGCCCTTGACCAGAATCCAACCTGCGACTCACTGGTCTGCAGGTCGACATTCTAACCACTGACCCAAATCAGCCAGGGCAACAAGATATATTTTTAAAGGATACATTTTCTGATGGTTTTAAGGAATTGATGATGTTCAACAAAAGGATTTGGGGAGTGTAGGTGATTTTTTGTAATTAGTATGTTACACAAGGAACCTGGTCATAGGTTTTTAGGATATATCTAAATGTGTAAATTAGTAGAAACATCAAAAAGTGGGCCAAAGTCTAATGCAGGGGACATATTATTATCAGTCACCACCTATCATTTAAGATTTCGGTCAAGTTACTAGTCAAATATCAGGACTGCTTGATGTGGGAAATTAGGCTGCCAATTTTTTTCTCTTTTAATTGTTAATTGAACACTGTCTAGAAATTTTCCTTACTTGGCAAAAGGGAGGATGGATTAGGCATAAAAAGAAGCAGCACCCATATCTTTTTTAGTCAGTCTATTCCACACTTAAATCTATACTGTAACATCCCTGAGTTTAAGATTCTGATCCAGACTAAACACCTCAAAGGTAATCAATAAATACCTGTGAGCTGATGATTTAAATAACAGCATCAGATCAATATGTGTTATTTTTTCATTACTTAGGCATGTCTGAAACAAACATCCCTATTCTCGAAAGCCATTCATTTTCAAAAAGCTCGCCTGTCTTTTAACATTGAAAAAAAAAAAAAAAAGAGTAAGAGGAAAAGTTGATTTTCTAAGGAGGACTCTACGTACCGTCTGATTTGTTCAGCTCACTCCACCTCACACACACTAACTCCAGTCAAATGTCCTCTAAAGCCCCCGCCGGCTGCACAGAGCAGACAGAGCTCCGTGAAGGCGGTGCTTTGACCAGCCACAAGGAACTCGGGCCTTTTCTCCTCTCGTGTTTAATCACGTACGTCATCTGCATTTTAAAATTAGTAAGCAGCATGAAAGTTTATTCTGCAGTACTTTATTAACTTTTAGTTTAAGTTGAGATAGAAAAATTTTACCATAATCAATGCTTTTAATCTTGAGGCAGTTTACTACAAGAACTCGCTATTTAAATCACATTCATGTTTGCCAGCCTAAGAGCAGCTTTCCGCACGACACAAGCCTCTGCTCCATTGAAAGATCCAGGGAGAAGACCAGAAAGAAACAGCAAGGTTATTTAAAGGCATGTTCAGAAACAACAAAAAGAATTTGTAAGTGCAACTCCAATGTTTCATAAATACTCTCTATTTCCACAATAAACCTTCTAAAATTTATATATAAATAAGCCAGCTACTAAAGTGTGTCTGAGGAAAATCCTCATAGGACATTGGCTTATAAGTAAAATATACTATATATAATATATACTATAATTTGAGCAAATATTAAAACAATTCCAGATTCATATTTTAGAAAGGGAAAAAGAATTTATTTTAAGTGTCTCTACCTAAATTTATTTTGGTATCAAACAACTACAATTAGTGATGGGACAAAATGCATCCATTAACTGTGGCAGGATATTAGTTATTTACAAAAACTATATAAAATTAAAGTAATTAGAACGTTGACCCAACAAAGCTTCCTGAAATTAACTTTGCTTTTAGAAATGTATCAAAAAGTCTTCAAATCCAGAATGATAGTCTTTATTATTTTTAATTCATGGAATTATAGCACATTGGATAGATCTTCAAGCAAAAACAACACATGAAAACCTGTATGATAAAATATTCTCCTTTTCCCAATAGCTTGGAATGAAGATGTGTTCCCTTTTTAGTGCAGAAAAACACTTGAACAACGTGTCCAATAATATCAAATACCTGTTAGAATGGCTTGTCTGCTGGAATTAAAGTTGGGAAATTACTTTACATTATTAAAAACTGCCTTACATTAAGTCTTTTTTTTATATATATATATAAAATAAGTTTTTTCTCAGCCATTTCAGATTTCTAAGCCTAACAGTAAAAAATGTTACTTGGTTTTTACTACTAAATCCACAACCATAGGAGCTATCTATCTTCAAGACAATATATATTTTCAAGGTGCATATAAGCATAACTAAATTTCTTAAATTGTTAACAAATCTAGGAGCACTAGTTTAATATTCCATTGCAGAATATAAGGCAGCCTTAAGAACAACACGCTTGTTCAATTTTTCTTAAGCTTTTAGGTTTGGTACCAAAACATTTAAAAATAAAGAAAAAAATTAGCATGACTCTTTGTAATGACTTTTCAGATATTAATCTGTAGACAAGCTAAAATATTTATCTAACAAAATACCCGATTATCTAACAATATTTGCCATTATCTAACAATATTTGCCATGAACTCATAAAATAATTAACACATGTATATTATAAAAGTAACATCAACAAAAAATGCCATAGATATTTTAGGCCTACAAAGAATTTATCTAATAAGGCTTACATGAGAAATATCATATAAGACCCCAAATAAATTTCAGACAAAATTTATCATGTGGCTTTGTTCAAACACACCTAAAATTCAGGTTCAGGTTAAATAACTAGGCTGGCTTTTTTATATCACCAGCTTTCATCAGGGCTTTAATGGCTCTTGCCCTCATCTCAAGTTCCAGCAGCTCCAGCTGTTGTGCAGAAGGCTGAACATCTTCTGCTGGAGGAACAGTGAGGGTAGCTGCTTTGGGTTCCTGTGGGCTAGACTCTGCCAGTCCCAGAATCTCATTCACACTTTTCTCAATGTCTTTCTCCAGGTCATCTATCTGACCAGCTTCACTCTGGACTGTATTTTCTGGGACCTCAGGAGCAGCTGCTTCTTCGTTGCATGGGCCTTCTATGTCGCTGTCATAAGCATCTGCATTTATACTGAGTACATCACTATCTTCCCCTTTGCCTGCAACAAACAGAAAAAGTGGAAAAGAACCATGTAATCTAATTGCCCTGGTCAAAATTTCCTTTCTATTTATGATTAAAGGGCTGCTTTGACCCCCACCACCCATCACGGAGTTCCAAACACATTCTTAATCCCTGTCTCACTGCCTCAACTTTGAAAACATATCTAATTTAACTCAAATTTTAATGTGCTTTTCATTCCCATTTAAAACATGTAAGCATTGGGAAATTTACACCATCACATGGAGTTCCACGATCTATTTTCCTAAATAAAATGTCATATCACTTTACAACACAGTGAAACCTCTACATTACAATAGGAAACCCTTTGGATAGGGTATTGCTTATTACTGAAGTAAAATTCCATTCTAGAAAGAGTTTAAAATACTTTATAAGCTATAAAAAAAAAGAAAAATATCATTGATAAGTTGGCTTCCATGTGCACTGCAATTATCCCAAATCTTTTCATATGCTTTTTCAAACACTTTGTTCTAAATCAATAAATTAAAGGAGATTACCTAAGGCCATTTTCTAAGATAAAAATAAGTTTTCATCAAGAGGATTTTAATTAATAAAGTTAGTACACCATATTTTTTAAAAATGCATTTGTTATAAAACTTCCATAACTGATAAGAAAATGGATATAAATGCAGATTATAGCTCTCAACCACTTGGGCCTTGGACATTATTCAAATCCAGGTATCATTTACAACCCCGAGTGCTCACTTTTCCCTCCAATTTATTTATCTTTTAAATTCTAATATGAGAAAAAAGGTTTTAATACCCAAAATGTTAACTTTCTTAACCTCCTTATGGCAGAAAAAACTTATTTACAAGACAGGTTGACAGATGAAAAATTCTGATAATAGAATGTGTAGGAAGAACATAAACAATTCTACTCCATTGGTTTTATAATAAATGATTTACTGACCTTGACTGATCCTTCTATATCCTAATAATTCAAAAACTATTCTTTATTCTAAAATTAAAGTGGAAATGAATCAAGAAATTATCTGCATCCACAAATAGAACTTCTTGTTAAAAAAAAAAATGGTTGCCATTTTATTTGTTGCCAAAGAACATTTTACATTTCTCTCCAAAGCAACAAGTATGCCCAAATAGCTACAGTATTTCCAAATAGCTTCCTGTGTAAAGAAACAATGCTTTATATAAGTATTCTAATTTGAGATGAAAACAAATTTAAGAAAAAAGTGCTGAATTGTTCATAGTTTCAAAAGGTTAATTTTCATGGCTAGCAGGCTTTAATCTAAATGTTTAAATCTGCCCTGGCCGGTTTGGCTCAGCGGTTGGAGCGTCGACCTGTGGTACAGAGAGACCCGGGTTCGGTTCCCGCTAAGGGCATGTACCTCGGTTGCAATTTGTCCCCGGCCCTGGTTGGTCGTGCGGGTGGCAGCCACTCGATGTGTCCCTTCACATCGATGTTTCTCTCTCTCTTCCTCTCTCTCCCTCCCGCTCTATCTGAACAAAAAAATGGAAAAATGTCCTCGGGTGAGGATAAAAATAAATAAATAAATAAATAAATGTCTAAATCTGTAGACACTGATTCTAAATACAAATCTGTAGTCTGTTTAAAAGAATTTTAAAATGTATGTTTTTGAAAAAACGTGATTGTTTTTCAGATTAGATGTTGTTCCTTAACAATGAAGAGCAAAATATAATGGGTGAGTGGGGAGAGAGGGAGAGTATGAAAGTTGGGATACGAGTCCTAACCCTTCCTCTCTATGACGCATGTGACTATGGGCAAATCCCTTACCTTACAGAGTTTGTCTTCTATCATCATTAAGGCAAATTGTTCTACAACATCTCTCGAGTCCATTTAGACCTTGACGGGGCCTATAATATTCTACTTGCGTATAAGTCAGCTTATCAGAAATAGTTCTGATTTATAAAATGAAAGAAAGCCTATAATGTTATGAGTGACTGCATGCTTGTGACTTCTTGATAGCAACTTACTGAGTTAAGCCAAGACAACCCTAGATCACGGGATAATTAAAAATTTCTGAATCCCTGCTAAAGATGGTGAGTGCAGCACACATACATATATAATCCTTCCTTACCAAGAACCCAATGAAGTGACAGAAGAGACATATTTAAATAGTATAAAAATTATAAGCTAACTGAGGATTTATACTATCTATGAATTTTTATAGTTTGTGAAATACTGACCTGCTTCTACCCTTTGCCCATGTTTTTAGTTATCTCTTAAATACATGTAGACATTATATTCTTGTATTTGTCCTTTTAAAAAATGTATTTCATTAATATTTTAAAATTGTCTGCCCCACCTTGAAATCAATGACTACATGAGAATACGCTCAACAATGAAAATTTCTAATCAGGGAAATGCAAATTAAAACAGTAAGATATCACATTTTACTCAGTAATAAACAGGAATTTTGTCCATCTGGAAAAATATTAATTGGTAAGATGGAAAAATATTCAAGATATACCATCAAGTCAAAACAGATAAAATATTTATGTTAAAAACAGCATAAGTGATCTATGCACAGTGGTTCCTGCTGTGGAGGGGAGTGAAAGTAGAGGGGGAAAAGAAAAGGAGTTTCCCAATTTTACTCTATGAACATTATGCATTTCTTCAACCATTTCCAATATTATAACCTTGTAAAAAGTTTAAAGGGAAAAAATAAAATCATAGTATTAGATAACAAGAAAGGGTGTCATCTAAAAAGAACAATTTCAGAATATTTACAAAATATAGGTAGGCAAAATGAAAAGGACGGAAAAATAAAAGCAAAGCAAAACCACAGCCAGACACCACAGGTAATTAAAGTGTTTTAAGAAATTAAGAGTTAGCTGTAGAACAAACAGCAATATAATGAAAACTTAGTTCATTCAGAATAGTTGAGCCATGTGAACCCTTCATCCCTGCCTCCCTTCCCCTCCCCTGCCACATGCCCAAGCACTCTAGATGGGAGAGCTACTTGTATTACATTAAAGAAAGAGATCTCTTAAAGGATATATCTGAACAGCTACTGAAGAAACATAAACCCGCTACCAGAGAAACTCAGCTACAAGAAATGAATATCCAAGGTGAATAAAGGAAGAAAGAAATAAAGATAGCAGGGATCGAAAGATAATCTGGGGAGAATGAGGGTTGGGGTATTCTGAGAGACACTAAAGTGGACACGGCCACCATAAAACAAGTACACGCTGCAAAGAAAAAAACAGAGAAGAAGAAATGTTAGAATTTAAAAAGTTATCAAAAGTCCAGCTGGTGTGGCTCAGTGGCTGAACATCGACCCATGCACCAAGAGAAGAGGTAGCTGGTTCAATTCCCGGTCGGGACACATCCCCAGGCTGTGGGCCAAATCCCCAGTGGGGGGCATGCAGGAGGTGATCAATCCATGTTTTCTCTCACTGATGTTACTATCTCCCTCTTCCTCTCTCTCTCAAATCAATAAAGGAAAAAAAAAATGTTTAAGTTATCAAAAGAAAATATTCATGCCCTGGCCAGTTTGGCTCAGTGGTTAGAGCGTCGGCCTGTGGTCCTTAGAGACCCGGGTTCGGTTCCCGCTAAGGGCGCGTACTTCGGTTGCAGTTTGTCCCCGGCCCTGGTTGGTCATGTGGGTGGCAGCCACTCGATGTGTCCCTTCACGTTGATGTTTCTCTCTCTCTCTCCCTTCCTCTCTCTCCCTCCCACTCTATCTGTACAAAAAATGGAAAAATATCCTTGGGTGAGGATAAAAAAAAAAAAAGAAAATATTCAATGATTGCTGGAAGATAATGTTAAAGAACTATCAGAATGTAGGAAAGTGTGCATATTTAAAATATGCAATACAAGTTGCAAGTTGAAGAGAAAAGCTGATTCCAACCTAATATAATGAATTAAAAAAATATTACTGAGCACCCACTATGTGAAAGAAATTTTTAAAGATCAAGAAAACAGCAGTGAATAAAACAAAGTCTATGCCTTGCCTCTAAGTCACAGGAGAGACACTGTAAATAAATATCAGATACTCTGAAGACATAAAGCAGGAGAAGATGGTAGCAGGAGAATGCCTTCACAAAGAGTGATTATTGTGATCTCGTAAGGTAACATTTCAGCAAAGACTTGACTAAAGTGACAGGACAAGTCAGAAAGCAAGAAAGAGAATGGAGAGGGAAAATAAAGAAATATTCTTCTAATCTAGAAGAAAACTGATCTGAGGCGAAGAAGGTCTTCACACAGAAAAAGGGCTTGCAAAGCGCACAGCATCAAACCTAGGACACATCTGGAGAAATATAACTTGAGAGTAAATAAAAGTTCTTAACAGTTCTCAGAGGGGGCAAAAAACTAGATTACAAACTAAAGCTAGTTTCAAGGAATTAGGAGTATTATTTTCAGCCACTGTGGACAATACATCCCAATGGCCATTAACATAACAAAATAAGAGTAGTAACGCCCTGGCCAGTTTGGCTCAGCTGTTGGAGCGTTGGCCTGTGGACCAGAGAGTCCTGGGTTCAGTTCCCACTAGGGGCAGGTACCCCACCCCACTCCTCCCAAAAATAGTAACAAATGCCTCCTTATGGAAGAACACACTTTGCTTCTAAACATTCTTGTCCAAAAACTGAACATGAATATGATCAAGTCACTATATCTAACTACCAATTTATAGAAAATAAAGGAATGTTAAATGAAACACTGAAATGCAATCACCAAAATTCAGACCGAGAAACTTTAGCAGACACCCAAAGTTTGTTGTTTATTTCTTCAAGAAATGAACAGCAGAGAGAGGAAGAGAGGGGAGGGTGGGAAGGAGGAAGGAGAAAGGGGAGCATATAGACTTAAAAGAAATTTACTTCTAACCAATTGAAATGTAGGGATCTTATCTACATCCTGATTCACACACATAGTTTAAAATATTATAGGACATCAAAAATGTGAACACTGGATATCTGAGGATTAAAAATACATATCAGAGGGCAAGGTGTGAGGGTGGGAGCATGGAGTTTCCATGTTCTCTCTGAAGGCAACCCTCT